AAATCCGTTCCCAATGTTCGAATATTCACTATCTTTATGTAGGAAATGTTCGAATATTCACTATCTTTATGTAAAGCCTACGGCAAATACTTATGAGCAACATACATAATCACACTGGCTCTCTTCTTAAAGTGAGAGCAAGGCTTCTTTTCGGTAGTTTTTGTCACGTCTAATGCGGCACAAAGCTATTGTTCACACTCGAAAAGAACCAAAAAACAAAAAAAAAAAAGTTTGGCTTACTTGTAATCACGTCTCTGAAGATGAAATTCAATATAGGTCATACAAAAAGATACTATCCTGCTCCACTCCCTAAGTAGTAAACATTACTGATATCAATCAGGTCATACAAAAAGATACTATCTAACATCCAAATCAAAGAATATAATTCTTTTTTTTCTTCTAAAATTCGATCCTTTGGATTGTCACGCATTGCGAGCATTTTGCTGAGTACGACCAATATGGGATAACCTGGAAGTAGAAGAAGGAATGAGTGGTGCCGACTCTTCATCTACCGGGAAATCAGAAGCCAAACTCGCACTTTTGCTTCCAATTTCGTCGTCATTGCTATTGATGTTGCCATCGGGTGTGTATACATCGGATGACTTCTTTGCTAACTTCCAGTCCTGTTGCATTTCGTTAAAACACACACTGCACACAGTTAGTAATATAACAAAAGTTACTTTCTACGCAGAAGTTTCTGACGGGATACAAAAAAACAGTTTTTCTTATTAAAAAAAAAAAAACAGTTTTTCGAGTTTTTCTTCTGGATATTTAAGCATTTTTTAGGGTTAATTCAAAGTTTGGGACTTTTTAAGATCCATGCTTCACTGTAAGAGCTACATTTTTAGATCTTTTGAAGTTTTCAATATCTTTGGAATTTTTTTTTAGTAATTTATAATTTTATAATACTGAAATCCACTGTCAGAAAATACGTAGCTACGTACCTTTGAAATCCTTTCAGGAATACCATCGGGACTTTGTTGTCCCCCAACTTCTCTGACCTTCAAATAATTGTATAAGACGACCCCACAAAGAGCTGCAGGAAGTTCCAACATTTTTATGAGTTTGACTATTTTTAAGCATCTGCCCATTGCAAATGGAGCTGGAAGAGTCATTGTTGAGGAAGTTCCAACATTTTTATGAGTTTGACTATTTTTAAGCATCTGCCCATTGCAAATGGAGCTGGAAGAGTCATTGTTGACAATTCTCCTGACATAATGCTAATAATGGACTATATCAAAATGGCTCAATTAAATTCTAGTGCTTCTTCTATTAGTGAAGTTTCTAGAAAAAAAAATATATCAAACGGCGGTCGCTACGGAAACAGCCTCCTTGTATAATTACAAGGGTAAGGTCTGCATACAACTGACCCCCCAGACCCCAACCTGTTGGGAATATACTGGGTATGTTGTTGTTGTTTGTTGTTGTTGACTATTTATAAGCAATTTGCAAATTTTTATTAACAAAAATAGCAACATAGGGACATCACCAATGGCGTAGCCAATAATGTTTAGGCCCGTTATGGTAGATTCTGGGAAAACCACCGTCGAGAGCGCTATTAGAATCCAATCTTTTAGAACTCCAGCTACTCGGACAGTCACTGCCCCAGTTCTACCGATCACCAAGAATATCGAGAAGTTCAACAGCAGTGCGCATATGGCATTGGAGAAGAAAATCCAGAAATTGAACTGAATTTGTGTCACTTCCATCCCGGGCTTCTCCAGAAAATACCATGGGATAAACAAGAACACGAAACTGCACGTAAAAGACAATCCCGGTATAATTTTTTATATTTCTAGAGCGTTAAGAAACATATATGTTCCTGAAAAATCTCACACAATGTCACTTAGAAACGAACGAGAAAGCATTTTATTTACAAGTTCAGCTCCAAGGTTATAAGGAAATTGTACGTTGTAAGATGTAACTAGTTTGCACTCGTTAGATAAAATAAACAAATGAATCAGGGATACTAGGAAGGGGACGTAAATTAGAATGCTGGATCACCATAACCATGCCAACAAGTAGTCTGTGAGCACGCATTTTGGTCGTGGAGAGAGAGAAGAGAGAGAGAGGGCGTGCTCGTTTACAAATAAATTTGCTCAAAATGAGTTATTTCGATTAACCAGAGTTAATTTTGAAAAAGTTAGATGGTTAGTTGTTAGTGGGATTTTGATTTTATATTAAAATAATATTTAAAATAAAATAATTAAAGTTGATTTGATGTAAAAGTAGGAGAGAAATGATGAAGTGATAGTTAGTTAAAATTATGTGAGTGGATGAATAGTGTCTTAAAGTTGATGTGATATGTAAAATTAATTGGTTTGTATTATTTAATTATATTGATAATATTGAGGATAGTGGGGTTGGGTTAAAGTTAAATTAGATTTTGAGTATGAATTGAATGTAAATGAATTATTTTGCAAACGAACATGCTCTAACATTTTCTACCACATATATGCAAGATAAGGTTTTATTTCTATGTACCTGCATGGAGCAATGTAGTATAAACTTGTAATGGGATTTAAAGTTAATCCCTTCTTTTGTAAAAGAACTTGCGTCAAGACTAGCCTTAGAGATTCTGCAAATATGCCAGTAACTTGGTAAGCGGTGCCAATCACATTAAAATGTATTTCCCCATATGAGGAAATTACAACTCCAACGCTGACCAGCACCATGTTCAAGAAGACATCCCATCTCAGTTTATCGGTACCACACATAACAGCCACAACAAATGTTGCCACCGGCACTGCCAAATTTAATATACAAGGAAATTAAGTTACAGAAAATTTTTGAATGCCATTATTTGAAACAGTAGGCCAATGATGAGAAGTAGTTTCACATACTAAGGGCTTTAAGCATCTGAATGAAAGCCACTGATATATGCAAGTACGCAGTGTTACCAAACCTGTGACAACATTCCAACAATTAACTATTGTCAGAGGTGCTATTGATTTGAGGAATAGTGCCAACAGGATAATTTTTCAGCAATTTCAAGATGAATAATTGTAAAAACATATTTGGTGTAAGAAACTTAAATGGATGGCCCCAAACATCTAAAAAGGTGTATTTTGCAATTCAATTGTCTAATTTAAGACTTTCACATGTTTCGAGATTGAAGGAGGCATTTCACTTATTTACATTGACTTCCACGTGGGAAGCACATAGATAGGTAGTACTATATCACCATTCAGATTAAAGTTAATTATTCATATAAGACAACTTCTTCGAATTGTAATTCCAGATCAACTTTTTGCAACGTCTCTGAAATTTAAAATGAGCTCCACGTCCAAGAACCTAAAACTAATCATCCTGAGCTGTCTCGACAATAAAATGAACAGCATATGCAAAACAAAGGTTGACCACCTATGAAGTTATGTCATCTTAATTTCTTTAAAACTACAATTCCTGGTCTCCATCAAATCATAAATCACAAACTACCAGTTTTAGGTCTTTACTTTACTGATGCTTATTTCAATTTCTAGATAAGTAGCCCAACTTTAAGAGAGGCAAGTTAGCAACATTCTATCTCAGTAGCATAGAAAGCATGATACCTAGAGTATTTGTGCTTCCATTGGTTGTACTACTGATCTAGAAGTTGATAATATGCATTCTAGCAAGAAACATTGGGTACGATTTTTCTTTATTCCTTATATCTGTGGTGCAACATAATTGCAGTCATACAAGGGTTAAACATATCTGAGGCCTCTCCATTACACTTGCAATAACTCTGGTTCTTCAAGTAGATACCCTTTTCAGTTGAAACATGTATCTAACGTGAGAAAGTTAGGTGTTGAATGAAGCATACAAGAAAAATGAATCACATTTAGGAGCATACCAAAGACTAGATGCGAAGAAGGCACTTATAGGGACTACACAGGAAACATATCTGTAGAAACAAAAGGAAACACTTCCATTAGGATAGATAATTGATACAGAAGAAACCCTCTACAAATTTAAATTGGAAGAACTCACTTACATGCCAAGTGTCATGTTGACAGGGGACACAACCTGCCAAATATTTGATATCAGCTTTATTCAAATGACAGCAAATCCAAATATGACACTCTGAAAAGAGCGAGTGGTATTTTCTGCTCAGTTGTTACATTTTAAGTTCCCACCACAATACAAAGATCACACATTTCATATAGCATTCCTTAACACGGACTGTAACTTGAACACCATGTAATACAGGCACAATAATAAACATAGGCATATCATCCTCTTGCTAGCAGTCACATGAACCCCAACAGTTATTATAATGATAGAACCATTTAGTGGCAAAAACAATGCTGTAATAAAAGTTCAGCTGTGTGAGTCGTGAAATGTGAATTGCAGCTAATTATTCCGCTGTGGTTTAGAAGATGAAGGATTTTGCAGCATATACTCTGTTTCAATAGATAGAACAACATATATGGCAGCATGCAGCCACAACATATACAATCATCTTCAGGAGCTTTACCTTGATAACGCGAATAAGGAAGAATGCCACCGCACCAGAAAATCCCATGTGTATCATGGTAAGTGTTATAGGAAATGGAAAGTTGAAGTACTTCGGAGAAAGAACCCACTGCAATCAATAAGTCAGTTTCAGCACTCCAAGTAATAGCAAAAAAAGAATGCAGTAACACAGAAACCACGAAGCCAAACAATAATTGGAAGTCCATGAATATCTTTATACAGCTAAGTCAAGCTTATGCTAAACTAATCCACTCACAACATGGATACACAATGAAACAATAGAAGAATTCTAAGAAAAAGAACAACATTCTCAAGCAAAAAGATTAATTTATTAATTAATAACTAGTGTGTACCCCGTGCAATGCACGAGAAGAATATTAAATTAACAATATTATAAATAGACCTCGAGTTTGAGTCAGCGGAAGTGGAAACTACTACTGATCTATTTAAAAAGAGGAAGAAAAAAAATAATTATAAATTAAACAGGAGGATAAACAATACTTAATAATTATAAATTAAAGATTCGGGGTCAAACATGTAAAATTATTTTGTATAAGAGAATATGAAAAATTTGATTACACACCATTTCAATTTTATACTGTTTTGTATGGTTAACTTATAATATTTGTAAAAATATTAGTAATTAGACCATGAAAATTAGCTTCTTAAAGTAGATAATGGATTTCTAGTAGTAATTATGAATTGGTTTCTATTTTATTTTATTTTTTCAAATCTCTATAGATAAGGGATGAGACGTGAGACTTATGCAATGAGATTTTGTAACAAAAGAGATAAGCTCGTGTAGATTTATACTAAAAATAGGAAAAAGAAAAACAAATATTTATTGTCAAACAACGGTTTTGATAAACTAAAAAACAGGAAAAAAAGAAACAAATCTTTACACAATTAATGAGCCGATTTTTTTGCCTATTCAGATTTGTCCAACAATTACTATATGTAGGATATATTTAATGATTTTGGCGAGAAAATGTTTCTAAATTTGTAAAAAGGTTATTCATTTTATATAATGATAGATGACAGATGAACAGAACTTTAAATTGAGTGTAAGCTCAGCCTAAAATAGTTGCCAGTAAGATACAAAAGTTACATATCAAGACTCAAGCAAAGTAAGTTGGCATAGCATCATCTTTAACTCGACACATTCAGATGTTGTAAGGGACTAGATTGACAAATATAACTTCATTCACCTTGTTGTACAAGATAACCCCAGATGAAAGCGTGATGTAGATTAGAAGGTATAGATATGTCAAGACTAGTGATCTATTTATCATTTTCGAAGATGTCCTCTCAAACAAGTGGCCTCTACAGCAGGTCTCAGGAGCTTCCCACTTGATAAATTTGGATTATCCAGTATTGAAAGTCAAGGATCAGACAGATGTTCCAATAATCAGTTCCAGACGTTCAAAAGTATCACCAAATTGCATCTGCTTCTAACCAGAAACAGATGCGCCAAGCCTGAAAAGGCTGAGGTATTGCTTACGACCTAGCAACTTGACCACGAGAAATCTGTGAAACGAGAAGCTCTATGAGTAAATAAGAAATACAAATTTGGAGAAGGGCAAGCTTCAAAATGAGTATAGCACGTAAATGGAAGAATAGAAAAGAGCATAACTCATTAAAGTTTTGATCACTCCACTAGATATCTGAACAAGCAAGATATATGAAATAAGTTACCAAAGCTCATAGAAGCAAAAAATTACAAGTATGTTGGGCAGCCATGCACAGTACCTAAAATCAGCAACTAGATGTATGCCTAAACAGCTGTTATTTCATTAAGCTTCCCCAGACCATGTAATAATAACCTATATATCTCCGAACATGGGAAAATTGCATGCAAACAGTCCACTGATAACAGTCTCTCCACTAAGATATTAGTACCTATAAATGGAGATGAATTAATTGGGCATGGGGCATTATTTCCTATCATCCCATATGTACTTAATCATGATCAATGCAAAATAAATCTAGAAACGAACAGGCGCAAACTCCTGCCAAGACTAATGATGCCAATGCACGTTGTGAGTATCTTAAAAAAATTGAGGAATAGACAAAAAAGAACACAAAGGAGAGCAACAAAACGATGTTCTCCAAGTTTTCCATCGCCAGCCAGTAAATTCCAGCAACACATTCCAATTGCAAAAGAGAAAGAATAGATGACAGTCACTCCATTTAGATTGAACAGTAACAGCAAAAAATAACTGGAAAAAAGGCTGAATCATTCACCACACGATAGCAGGCTTCATCATAATCATCGGGTAAACATGCGAATGAACTTCACAGAATAAAATTAACACACAATAAGATTGGGAAAGTAGATTCTGAGCAATACCTCCAAAGCTGATGAGCAAGGACCTTGAATTCAACAAAAAAATGGAGCCCAAAAGTATGGAGAAATTATATGCACGAAACTCGACTTTTAATACACATCCTCTTCACGAGCGCGCAGAAAATACATGAACAGTAAACGAAGAAGACGAAAAGCTTGAGCAAATGCGATGATGTGTTAGATCTGAGGAACAGAACTTGCAGATGCGAGAGGAAAAGAGTGTGAATGCGGAGGGCGGTAAAGCAAATAAACACTTCAATTGGGGCAAAAATATAATTCGCCACGTTTTGTCGTGAGAAACTTGTGTTTCATATTGGCAGGCAGTGGGACCCACTCTCGACTAGCAAGTTTTTTTAAGTGGTATAACTAATCTATCTATATATATATATAAAAAGATTATTCGATAATCCTTTTTTTAAACTTTTGATCAAATAAATAACTAGTGCGTATTTCGTGCAATGCACGGGATATAGATATTAAATGAGTCATTTTCAGTCTCTGTCCGTTTAAGTCTAAAATGTAATAAAGTTATAATTTATTTTTCACATCTTTTAATCGGCGTTAAGTCTAAACAACAATAAGATTACAATCTAATTTTCACCTCATTTAATCAGCGTTGTTTCTTAGCCAGAACATTAAATATGAGCACGTTATGGCTAACTTGTTAAATAATTAATATATTATCCCACTAACACATTTATACTAATATACATTTGATTTTAATATATATATATATATATACGTATATATATTTATTCTTTGATATAAAAGAATATAACAGTTTTACTTATTCTTGTTCATCATATAATACTCAATTATATTATAATATTTGTTATAATATAATGTCATTATTATTTATAAAAGTTATAGAAGTTATACGTCTTCTTTTTCTTTTCATTTTATGTAATAGAAAATATTTAATGCACGCTAGTATTATTTATTTATATAATCAATTTAAAATATGTAAATAAATTTAAAATTAAATAGTGTATAAATATTTTACAAAATATATACACATTTTTTTTAGAATTTAATTTTGTATACTAATTAAATAACTTTGAATTAGCAAATTCAAAAAACTCAATCCCTTCTATAATCAAGATTTTCTAAGTTTCATTATAAGGATTTATAGTTTAATTAACTTTAATTTGCAATAAAAATATATTTTACAAGAATTTCATTATAGAAATAAATAAAAAAAACTATTTGAAGAATTTCATTAATGTTTTACCATTAATTAGTAAAACTATTTAATGTATCTGGTCATTATCTCTTAAATAGAAACTACATAAATTTGAAGAATAATTTAATTTTTATATATAACAAATAAAGCTTAATAAAAATTTATATTGGCAAAGATTAATTCACCAACTTAATTTCGCATGATTAACTGGAAGAAAACATTCTACTTAACCTTTTACGATTTTCTAAATATTTTTAGATAAAAAATGAATATTTGTAAAAAAAAATAATATTTTGGTTAGAACTTAAAATAAGTTGTAATATTTATCTTGGCCAAAATATTATCAACATGAATCACGTAAAATCAAACTTGTAATTTATTATAATAGACATCAATGAAATTATTGCTGATATTAATAAAATTATTTAAGAAAACAATGTTTTAGATCATATCTGATTTGATCTTATTTTGAAAACGTGTATATGGAAGTAATTGACACATATATTTAAAAAGTTTGCAAAAAAAGGTATGCATTAAATGCTTCTAACATTTTCTACTACTATTTTTAGTAAATGGTTATTCTTATTATATAGATATAGATACCTTTGACGTTCTATTTATAGAAAGCTTGAAAACAATAATTGTGTAGTTTATTATTCACGGAAAAATCACAATTTGAATTCAAAATTAATGGTGTAGAGATAATATTGGAACAATAACCTTTGGATAACTCATGATGGAACATCTAATCACTAAGAGTAATCATATTTTGAATTCAACGTACCTTATTTATTAAAAACGTCCAAAATATGTCCACATCTTAATTAATTAATTAATTATATATATATATATATATATATATATATATAAAATAAGAATTACCATTTGCTAAAAAGAGTAGCAAAAAAATAGGTCAGAATTTAATGCAGCTTATAAATAATAAGTTTTATTATTTTTATTATTATTTTTCTTTAAAAAATCATACAACATTAAATTCTACCTTAAATTTTGGGTTTTAGTTCATTTTATTATTTAAAAAATCCGGCTAAAATTTATTAAGTGTGTATGTTTTTATTTTTATTTTTTTCTTAGAAATAACGAACAACATTAAAATCTCGGTCTCTGTATTTATAAAATCTCAATTCAAAATATAACAAAACTTTTAGCATCTCTGCCTTTAAATTTGTGCCTTTAAAAAAATATGCTGAACGCTAAAAATATTCTTAAATTGCATAATCAATCAATTACTCTTAATTTTTTGAAAGTTACTATGTTTATTTTTTATTAATATGCATAAAGTAAAAATAATTAATTCATCTTTAGATATATAATTTATAATCTTAATATAATATCATTTTGGTGTATACATTTATTATATGAATCATAAAATATTTTTATTTCATAAAATTAAATATATTTAAAGAAAATAAGTAAATTTCTTCGGATCAATTGGGTGATTGAATTAGGGTAATGCCCAGGTTGATTGAATTACTTTTAGGTGATATTTAAGATAGTCAAAAAATTTGACACAACATGGTTGGTCCTAGGTGACTAAGTTATGTATCAGTTCGACCACACTAAATCGATTGATGAACCTAAATATAAATTTTATATTGAAAATATTTTATTACGTGAATGTGATGTAGTCCAAACTTCAAATAATCGTATTAACAATACTTTTATAACAACATGTTTAATGATTTATGAATACTTATATATCATTTTATTAATATTTATGTGAATTAAATAATATTTTATTATAATATTTATTAATGTACAGTAAATGTAAGGTTTTTAGAACTGGACCATCATCGAAACGATTAAGCTATTTTATTAAATCATTTGTGGTTTGTTCAGATTTTAATTTATAAACATTTTAATATATATATATATATATATATATATATAGTACTTTTTGTAACAAATTTAAATAAAATGTGTTACTTAGATATCTAAACAATCTATAAATTCAAATGTTTAAACTAATTGATAAATAATTTATAAATATCTATCTTATTTAAATATTTAATTTTATTTTAAATAATTTTAAATATAACAAGATTTATATAGAAAATCGTATCGATCCTACCAGTCCAACCGACTGGTATTGACAGATTCGAGAGTAAATATTTTATTCGAGCGAACTAGACTAGTTATAAATTGATTCTCAGTGCATCCGGTTGGACTGTGTCCAACCCAGTTTAATTTAAAAACAATGGATAAATCATGATTAATGTTATTTATATATTTAATTTATAATACAATCGTAATATTATTTTCTCATGCATCGCACGGACCACGCACTAGTTGAATTAAATAGTTTCGAAAAAAATTTTACCATCTCTTATTTTAAAAAGTTGATATATTGACTTTTTTTAATTAACTTTTGAATTTACAAAATCATTTAAGTAGCTACTTGTTAAATAATGAAAAATGCTACAAGTATGTGTACATAACACTCACATGAAGTGGGGTCCACTTAATTTTTATTTTTCGTAGATCCTACACAATGTGAGTGTTATATACACCCTTATGTAAAATATTATGTACCTATAGCATTTTTCTTAAATAATTAAGTTTGAGATTTTGACGGATAAAACCTCCAATTTAACCCGCATTACAATGTTTACTAAACAAACAATGATGATATATCAATGTAAAATTACAAAAGAATGAACTAATAATAAATTAAATACCATTAATAGAATTATCTATTTTTGACGTCAAAATTTGTACATTAAAAATAAAAGGTTAATATTTTATATATTTTAAATTTTGATTTGACATTTCTTACTAAATTGTTAAATATATATTTGATACTCTTAATATTAAAATTAATTGATTAAATATTTTATTAACATTTATATATGTAGATTGATATATATTTTATCTGTTAGTTGTAATAGAAAAATAATAAAATTCATCAATTAAAATAAGCTTAACCAACGAACCTCATGTTTATCCAACTGTTATACTAGTAAATTTTAATACTGTTGTAACCTCCTATAATACACGTGTCGTAGGCTGAGCTCTTTATTTTATATAATTTTTTATAATTTAACTCATTAAAGTTCAAATTCGACATGGTATTATTGATAAATGAGTCAAACTCGAGTTCGATTACTGGCTCGTTTAATTAATTTGCCTCGCCTTGTTTACACTTATGTCTGAGTCACCATGCAAATTTATTTAGAAGATTTTATTTATTTATTTATTTTTTTTTTTCTGATTTTGTAAGACCCAAAGGTCAACTACATTGTGACAAAACACGGGTTGCATGTGTATTCCAAATAATTGTCTGCATAAAAATGTAAATTGTAGACCATTGGTTCACTAGAATATATTAATGATCCAGCAGCCAACTCAACAATTATGAATACGACTCTTAAGATGTAACATATATTATTTTGGGGAAGAAAAAAATGAATGGAAAAAGTGAGGTAAAACAAAAAACTTTTTTCTTTAAAATACAAATTATTTTTCATATTGTGAATGGATGTCACACATTGAGATAAAAAGAAATGATTAAAGTTGATATGATAAAAAAAATAATTAAATAATAAATATAAAAAATTTATAGTTAAAAATATATGAATAAATGAATATAGAATAAATTTTATTGAAAAGTAAATAATAATAATAATTATTATTATTATTAAATTTCGTTATAATTGTGTTGATAAAATTGCGGAGAAAAAAAAAAAA